GGGGAGTGAGGGGCCCCTGACAGTGGGAACACCAGACACCGCAGGCAGCACTGAGGTGAGCATGACCGGTGACAAGCCATGCTCAAAGTATGGAATCTTGGTAACTATGTGATGAGAGGGACACATGCCTCTGTGGTTCTCCTCCTTGGACTGAGTTGGACCCCTAATTCAGTGGCTATTGCCCTTAAAAGAGGACAGCAATTTGTACATAGACACACCCATGGCAGTAGGCCAAATGAAGATGGAGGCAGAGACGTCTACAAGCCAAGGGCTTTCAGACGTCTATCTTCCAGAGTGGCGAGGGAATAAATTTCTGTTGTTTTAAGCCAGCTTGTCATAAGTTGTTATGGCAGCCTAGGAAACTAATACAGTCACAAAAAGCAAGGTGAGTCTGAGAAATGCCCACAGCCTGGAGGAGCATAGTGAGATGTAAGGACTAAATATAATAGAGCCTTGTGGACCCTGGAACAGAAAAAGGCTTCAGGTTAAAAAAAAATAGAGTATCAACTGCAGTGAATAATACCATATTGATGTTGGTTCATTAGATGTCTCAAAACACTACTGATAAGATATATACAATAAGGAAATGGGGGATATAGGACCTCTCAGTGCTAGCATCATAAATTCTGTAAATCTAAAATTATTAAAAAATTTAAAAGTTTTGAAAATAAGAAAACAATTTAGCTAAACATTTAATTGGATCTCAAATGCATTTGATAGGCTAACAAAAACAGTGACGTCTTTATTGAAATTGCTTACAAAAGGTATTGAAAAGCACTTAATCTAAAACATTTGTAGGAGGTAGAATGTATAATGATTTTGGAAGTTTAAAGTGTTTTTTTTAAATGTATTAGGCAAAATTACTGGGAGATTATTTTACAAAGTTTTCTTAGAAATTAAGTTTCAGTGGTCTTTTAGCCAAAATCTAAATGCTAATAATCTCCCTTCTTAATTATAACTTCTTAGATTGAGACATAAACTGAAGTCTAGATATAGATACTTAAAGATACTCTGCCAAACCCAACAAGTCCATCAGTGAACAAAACAAGTCGATGGCATGTTCTGAGAGAACAGGCATTTGAAGGACAGCTTAGTATGCTGAGAGCTATGAGCTGTGTGGTAACAAGACTAGATAGGTATTCTCATTCATCAGTTTAAAAACTAATACCAGATGCAAGTAAGAATAAAGAAAAGGGAATCTAAAACTTCATTTATTTATATTTGGTAATCTTAGAACTTTCTGATACAAATTTAATTTGCTATTTAGCTTCATTTATTCTTCCAGTGATCTTTATATATTCTATTTACTTCTTTTTTTATTGCAGGGTTTAATATTTTTGGTGTTATTAATTTAGATCTTAAATTTTATCATTTTTTATTTTGGTAATTGCCAAAGAATGTTATTTTATGTGCAGAATAATAAAAATTATAATAACTGTGACTTATAAAAAAGTATTTTCATAAGGAAGTTGAGACTCTAAATCAAATAGTTGGAAGTTTTTATGATGGTTTTAATATATCATTTGAGTACAATCAGGTAGTACATTTGGTAAAATTAACTGCATTTGTGTGACTTTAGAGTGATAAAGTTTTTTACAACTAATATCTTACTAACAGTTTGCTTTTAAAATTGTATATATGGTCGATCTACCTGTAAGTTGGATGTATATATTAAAAGCCTACAGGAAAAAAAAGAAACATTTGTAATCATTTCCTTTGCAAGGTGTGCATTGTAACTTCTCTGTTTAAATATTTGCAAGCCACCATATTGCCACATAAGCAGCTGTGCCAAGTGAAACTATAATGAATGGCCCAATGAGATGTTTCTATATTTAAAATTCAATTTAGCAAATTGACATTTTCTATTCCCTTTTCCAATGTTCTCTATTCAGACAAATCACTATCTTAAAACAAAACACAAACCAGGCATTTATTTGACTGTCATGAAGAATTAAACACCAAAAAGAAGGGATGCTGTGGCTATCACTTTTCATTAAAACCAGCTGCCATGCTTTTAAAATGCAAACCAGATCAAAATCAGCACAAACCCCCAAGGGCTTAATTTGTATACTGAATGAACCAACTTGTTTTGAAAGAACTTTTCTTGTTCCTTTTTTTTACTTTTGATCTTTACACTGGCCCTGTGAGCTAGGAAGATCAAGAATTATTTCTATTTTAGTGATAACAAAGTTGAGGCAGAAGGTTTAGCTGACTTGCAAAGGCCAGTAAGTGCCAAAGGTAGTGTTAGAATTCCAGGCTTCTAACTGAATGCCTGTGTCTTAACATATTAGCTCTAGATCCATAATGTTATTACAGGCCTCTGTCCTGGTACCAATTCCAGAATGTAGTAATGATGTGCTGTAGTTGGATCCTACAGTTTCTAACAGTCCACTATGAAATATGTTGGAATTTTCTAAGATGCTATAAACCATTGATAGCTTGAAATTGGCCATGGTGGGAATATTTATGCCATGAAAATAAGTAAATGTTTCTTCTTTTAAGAATCGGTTTACCACTGATTATTTCTAAGTATAAATCGAGGAAGGAAACAAACAACAACAAAAAAGAAAACAGTATTGTAAGCCACATGTAATTTTATGCATACTGCATATGTAGAGCAGAGGTCACTATTTCTTTGTTCTGTAGGAAGGACAGATCCCATCTACCCGATTCAGTTCTTACATGGGGCTGTGTGACTGTGTCTAGGAACCCAACTAATGTAAGAGTGGATGAACAAGAGAAGAGCACAACAGTTTTATTAATTTAATCTACATAAGAATCTTCACAGAGTGAATCTGAAGAAATTACAAAAGCTATACCTTTTAGACAAGAGAACAGTAAATCTGTGGAGGAATGACAGGACAAATGAACATCTAATTCTAGGGATGTTACTAAGAGATATGGGGGAGTGTATAGAACCTGGGGGAAGATAAAGGTTACATCAGAGTTTCTTCAGATTAACTATAACCCCAGTTACCAGTCTGTCATGATCAAGCCTTATTTTCTAGTCTTGATATATGAAGAGCATCTCTCCCAAAAGATTCTTTGTGGCTTGCTGCATGTAGGAGAGTAAAGGTCAAATGACCCTTGACATATCTTGGAATGCTCAATATTCTAGTCCAGCATATTTTGAGATAGCATAGCTTTTAATATCTTGGGCCAGTTAACCAGAAATTTGCTTTTAAACACTGGATATATATGGAAACACTTCCAGGAAAGCTTGAATTAAACTAGAGTGTTTTGAGGCTCTTTACAAATCTTAACCATTCTTTATGAGCTCTTTAAAAAGTGAGGGCAATCTGCATGGCTTTTTTTCTTCTTTGAACCTCTGGTGGGTTTAATATAGAGGCCTATACATTGGGACTTAATTATTTACTATTTGTTTCTTATGAATTTATTTTGACTCCCTAGACTACAATATCCTCTTTGAAGAGAGGGACATCAACTTCTCTTTCTTCTTTCTTTGCATAAATATTTAATGAACACCTATTCTATGTAAACAAAAGTGCCTTCCCTTTCAGAGCTAATGGTCTAGTGAAGTCAGGAATTAATTTAAGCAAATGAAAAATTATACCTGTGGTAAATGCTTTGAAAAATTATTTATAGTGACTGACACTATTAACAATAAAGTGATCGACAGTGAAATTTCATTTATTCAGGAGGGTCAGTAAAAGCTTCTCTGAGAATATTGTGATTGAACTGAGATCTGAAGAATGAGAATTAACTTGGAGTTCCCAGGTCTTGAATATCATTTCTTTAATTCCCTTTCAATCTGGATCAAGCTTCCTTATTATATGCCTTTATATCACCCTGAAATTTTCCATCAAATAGTAACTACACTGTATAACTTCCCATTTGTTCCTTAGGTGTCTGTTTTTCCCACTAGCCTGTTGGCCATGTAGCTGGGAGGCACCTATTTTGCTCACCATAGTAGTCCTAGTTATCCGTCTTAGAACCTGCCACATGGCAGTCACTCAGTAATTGTTGTTTCCACCATTTTTGCCCTTGTCTGAAGGCAGGTGTTTTGCCTCTCAGTTATTGAGGACATATAATATATATGAAAAGACAAAAGTCAGAGAAGTAAGACAAGATCCAGATAGTTTAGTGACAGAATTGAGAGACGACCAAATACCTAAGAGTGCATACACATAAGTCAGGTATAGCAATGCTGTCTAGATGAAAGAAAGGAAGGCCATTCTATTTGGTGATAAGAAAGTTTTACTTATTCTTACTCATTTGCCTTGTTTGAAGGAAATTTGTTCCATTTGTAAAATAGTTTTTCAAGATAAATATTTAATGTTAATTTTTAAAATATTTTCTTGTGAAAAGTGACAGGAATATATAAAGGAACACTTTCTTGAAAAAAAATGTTTCAAATTATGTATGTATAGGATATGTTGTCAAATGTGCTTTGAAGTAAGGAAGAGAGAAAAGAGAAATACAGGGAAAAAAGGAAGGCAATTGACAAGGATGTTAAATGACTATCTTTATTTGTATTTTATTTTTTAGCAGCAGAGATCAAACCCAGGGCCTCACACAGCCTAGTGTTTTCATGTTTATCTTTCTGCATGATATTTTTCCATTTGTTTTTTTTCCTATATTTTGCAAGTTTTTTAGTTTAATGAGTCTATATCATCCTTACAATGAAGTAATAAAATAACATCTTACAAAGTTGAGAATTTATTGTTTGGGCAGAATATAGCCTTATGCCTATGTACTTAGAAGGCTCAGGACTATATTTTAGATTTTTCTTTTCCCTGCTTAAATTTGTTGATAATGTTAGTATGTCAGTATTAAATGACAGTTGTATCTTAGTTTATGTCCATTTATTCCTCTGGAACCTGAGTTCCTTGAGGGTGGAGATCTTTATGTCTGCATTTCTAGCATCGTTCCTGGCAGTAACACATATTTGTTGAATGAGTAACTTTTGAAAACTGAGATGTACTGACCACTTTTATTGCTTCTAATTTATGTGCGCTTTTTTTTTTTTAAAGCACACGGAAGTGAGAGCCACCATGAATGGTCATATTTCTAATCATCCCAGTGGTTTTGGAATGTACCCATCTCAAATGAAGTAAGTTGAAAAGTCTATTTTTAATTTGTTTTGGGGGGAATTTGATTTTATGGTTTCAATATTTTTGTATTTTTAATGAAAGGATTAGTTGCATTTTTAATGCAGCTCATTCCTCATTGACATATGCTATCCCTTTATTACTAACAAATGTTGTCATTAAAATTTTATTTTCTCTATTGTGAATAAAACAGTTAATATCAGCCCCAATGATGGTCGGAAGGTGTTTCAGTCTAGTATTTTATATATTATTGCATTTAGAGATTCTAGTTCAGAGCTTCAAAAATCTTTGGAGCATTTTTTAAACGTTATTTATAAAATATTGGCATTTGAGGAGGATTAAATCTTGTTTAGTCCATGCTGGCAAGATATTTACCATTGTGTAAAACAAAACAAAATAAAACAGACGAAATAATCCCAGTGGCTCCAGGTATAACTTGAAATCATAACCCTGGCTTGAGTGGCTACATTGTGCATAGTTTTGTTATTTGATACTGGCCATTGTGAGACATATTTCACATGTCATTCTTCAGGATAGATAATATTTACCATATCTAGGGAATAACAATTTAATTCTTTAGCATGATGTAAAAAGCCCTCAATCTGGCTCACTTCCCAACCACTCATCCTTCCAGGCACATCACATTAAATCCCACTCCCCGCGTATGCCATGCTGTTTCTTGATTCAGCTCCATGAGCCTCTCTTCGCAATGTTACTCTCTCCCTACCCTTGGAGCTTCTTTTCATTCTTTTAGATTCTGCTTAAATGTCAACTTTTTGGATATCCTGATAAAGTTGATCTTTTCCTTGATCATACGTGTTATAGTTTCACCCTGATGTATTGTCCTATTGTAACTATTTTTGCTTGTATTATTGGCAGTACCCTCCCATTCTCCCTACTCTTCTAGATTGTAGAGCTTAATAAATTTTTTACTGAGTAAAATACTAATAGATCAGTATTTACTTCATATAACATATTGGTAATGAGGCCAGATATAGGGTTGAGCAGGTGAAATTTAGTGATAAAGAGTTATTTGTAGGTTAATTGTGTTTTGAGTATTTGAGAATAGCATCTATTTCATTATAGTTTAAGTCTCTGGGAACTTGTTATAACTGTACTACCACTCAGAACTTGATTAAATATGGCAAATTTATGCTCTTCCAAGATAGTCCCAACCTTGGAGAATCTCCAGGCTACAGTTTGACTTGGCACTTGAGAGGAGGCTGTGACTTGCACCCACTTCAGTCCTCATTGGGGTCATGTGGTTTGTATTGTACTTGTTCAACACTTACCAGATCAGGATCTTGCCTGTGTTGGCAAACAGCATAGGTTCAGTATGCCTTTTTTAAACACATGGTGATAATGGCACATTGGAATTTTTATTTTCTATTTCTGTATTTTTATGACCTACTTTGGACTTTAACCCAACACAGTGACCATTTTTTTATTACAGTGGCTATGGATCATCACCCCCCTTTTCCCAAATGGACAGAGATCACAGTTCAAAAACAAGTGCAAAGGCTCTATATGGTATGTTTGTTTATTCAATGGGGATATAATTTTGCTTCTAACCACTCTTTATAAATTTAAAATTTCTAAGTTGTAGATTGAATCCATACCCTGTTTCTGTTATTTGAAATGAAATATTGATGGCTACATAAGAATTATTTTAAAGAAGAGTTTTTACAAAAGCTGTTGAAGTTATAAACTGCGCTTGCTGTCATAAGATTTAGAACTATAAATTGAATGTATTGCAGCACTTTCAGAGTCTTTCACATGGCATCAGTGCCTGAAGTGGGCTTTCCCACTTGTTACTTGTAAAATGTTTGTTGATCTTTGTGATGGAGCCAGTTGTGATTGTGAGCTGACAGGTGACGGCTTTTTCATATAGCTCTTGAACTTTTTGAGGAGTAGGTTAGTATGATTAGCAATCCTTTTATTTCTTTCTGCACTACAAAATAGTCGAACTTTCTTTCCAAATCTATAATTTCTGGTGCCCTCTCTAGTTTGTCTTAGATATACATATATTTTCTAAACTTTAAGTATAAAAAAAAGGTAAAAAGAAGAAAAGAAAAAATGCACATCTTGAAGTGCATTTAATTGTGTAGGGTCTGTATGACCTTTTATTAATGTATAACAGTAAAGAATCAGGATAGTATTATGGTTAAGAGCAGAGACTCTGGAATCATACTTCCTAGGTTCAAATCCAGTTCCACCATTCACCAGTGACCTTAGGCAAATTACTTTACCTGTCTGTACCTAACTTTATTTGTGTAGTGGTGATATGTGTTAGCATTGATAAGAGGATTAAGCAAGTTAGTAAATGTAAAATGCTTAGAACAGTGCCTGGCAAGCAGAGAATGCGTTATATATTTGCTATTGTCAATATTGTCATTGTTATTATGTACGATGGGAACCAACAGCATTTTCTGTTTTGGAATTCTTTTTATATCATCTAGATTTACAATTTTGTGTCTATGGTTTGAATGAACAATTCTGAAGTCTCATGATTCATTTCTGCCTATATTTTTAGTAAATTGGCTTTACAACTCAAACCATATATTCATGGAATGGATTTAATTCTCTCTATATATTTTTAAAAAAATGACCCTGTCAGTCTGATTGGTATTTATTTCCATTTTCTTAAGTGTCACACTGAGACTGTCTTAACATGACATAAATGGTTGTGCTTTGTAGATCTAGAGAATTTATTCAGCAAATTTCATAGTCAATATGTTTTCAGAACTGGACTAATAATATCTGATCCTCTGCTTTAAGGGGGGTGTAGTCTAGAGAGGGACTTGAGGAAAACTAAAAATGAAAAAAAAATTTTGAGAGAATAAAATAATTCCTTTCCTTGTTTCTTTCTAGACATATTTATTAAGTGTGTCAGTATGCTAGGCTACGATCGTCATAGTCTATTTTCATTATCTTTATTTCAAAGATAAATAGGATATTGTCATTGCTTATTTGCCATTTTGGTGAGATAGACTAATAAATTCATTTTTATAATAAAGGGTTAAATGTGTTTTCATAGCTGTGTGTCCCATGTTCTTCTAAGTGGGGAATGGTGAGCAGGGATCTCTCAGGAGCCTTGAGCTGATCTCTGAGTGGTCAGCATTTAGTGGGCAAGATGATGCTGTAGACTGCAGCATGAAACTTTTCTACACTATACTCTTAGCTCTATGAAGGTGGCCCATACTTGTCTTCTTCACTTGAGGATACCCCATGCTTGTTAGCACAGAGTCTAATGTATAATTTATGCTCAGGATCTACTTGTAGAATGAATATGAAGAATTAATGAACCACAGAAGTTTGGTGCTACTTGGAGAGCACCAGGTAGTGAGTGCATGGGGTAATAATAAAACTGGAAAAATGCAAACAGATCATATTAGGAAGAATTCTACCAAAGAATTTGCACACTATTTGTAAATATTGAGCGGACTTTGATGTGTTTTTATCAGAGGATAATAAGAGAAATTTGTCTTGGGTCATTCTGTTAACAAAATTGAGAATGGATTTGATAAGTATGAATCAGAACAGGTGAATCAGATTTAAGTAATATAGATAAATTAGTCATCTAATAACCACCCTAAGACTTTTTTTAAAAATAGGAAAAGTATTCAATCCTCTCACATGTTACCACAGATCCAAAAGTCTGTTTTCAGAGTACTAAGAAAGGAATAATGATTAAAAAGTAGGACTCACCTGTAAATTTTAATGTTTATTTTGTGTTAGGACAGCTTTATAAAATCTTAGATCCAAGGATTGAAAGTCTTTAACTTTTAAACAGTAAATTTTATTTCCCCTCCTTTTACATATAAAGCAAACTGAAGATGATTTGTCAGATCACATAACTTTAAAAAACTTCACTATGAGAAAGCATGACAATTCTGTGCAGTGTGATGAAAATAAACAGGATGAAGGTAATTCAGAGAATATGGCTTGGGATAAAAAAGGGCAAATGCAGGAGGCATTATGAGGAAGAAAGATGACTTAGCCATGTAGGGGGCCTGGAATAAGACAGGCTTAAATTCCTTGAAGTTGCACATATTTTTTTCATTCTTATTTGTGTCTAATAATCACTACTTCCTCTGAACACATAGTGTACACACACACACACACACACACATGCATACATGCATGCACACAATGCTTTCCCTCTTAGAGATTATAAATTCTCAGTAAATGTCAATGGAAAGAATAGCTAGAGAATGACATGGAGAAAGATATTCTTGTTTTGAACAAATCTTTGCAATAAACAAATTCTTATTAAAATCTTTTTAGTTATCTTTGGGAGTGTTTAGCCTCCCAATCTACATGCTTTTAACCTTTGTAAACTGAAAATTTGGTGATTTATAATATAGTTTATTTCCTTGAAATGTATGCATTTAAAAAAATTTCTCCTTATACAATTATAAAACTAATTGAATAATCTTCCCAGGATTAATTACTCTTGTAATTAATACAGTATCCTTACATTGCATGAACTTTTGTGGAGCATGAGAGTACTTTTTAGTGCACTGGAATATGAGTTTTCACAGTGATAGACACTGTTTCTCACACACTGACCACAGGCTAGATACTGTATCAGAGGTTTCTTTTCTTCCTTGCTTTCTTTTTCCATCTTGTCTTTCTCATGAGCACACATTTCAGAACTGACACACAATGTCACTCAGATGGCTCCTGATAAATGTGCTCAGAAAGGCAGACTGGGTTAGAAAGCCAGGGGATCTCACTTCTACCAGTTGACTACTGTTTTGAGCAAATTATTTAACCTATTACTTCCAGTTTCTTCATCTATGAAATAGTAATGATAATAACATTGTAGCAGGTATTTTCAAGCCTGTGTTTCAGGCACTACTCTTGACAGCACTCTACAGAAATTTTTACATAAATCCCCTAAAATGTATTTTAAATCCCAAAAATGTGTTTTATGTAACTATACATCTCTTTATTGGTATGTGTTGATTGTTCTAGGAAAACAGTTAACATATGCTGCAGTTTTAATAACTCCCTTTGCCATTTCTTCATTATGATACTAGAAAATTCCAAGTCAACATGTAAAAGGCTGTGCATCATTTATATCCCTGACAAAGTGTAACTCTTGCTTACCAAAAGTAATATCCATGTTTTTCTCCTTCACTTATTTCATGACAGTAACATTTCATTTAGCCACTGGTATTAGGGAATTAGAGATTTCACATATTTTTTTCCAGTTAACCTATTTGTCAGTTTTTTTTTCCTTAAGGAAAATGTTTGTAAAGTGTATTAAATACTCCCTTCCCTCCAGGTATGTGGCATCTTTGCTCCTTGGTGATTTGGAAGTTCACTTGAATGGCCATTGCTTGTCTCTGTGATGTTACCAGAGTCTCCATTTCTTACCTTTGCTCCAAATCATTCATTTATTTTCTCTTTTTGAATATTTGGGCTTGCTTTTCCCATGTTGCTGAATCCCAAGCCTGTGACTTGTTCCTGTTATCAACATACCTTCTTATGGCATTGCTTCTGATGTCTGTGGCCTGGGAAACTAGGTAGAAATTATGGTTAGTAAATAGGTTCTGAGTGGGAATTGAGATGCTTTTTCATTATGTTTATATGTTGCAGCATCTCCAGTGACAACTCAGAAGACTTTTTTTTTTGAGAGGGGTTTGCTGGGGATTGAATCCAGGGCCTTGTGTAAGTGAGGCAAACACTGTACCAGCTGAGCTATATCCCTAGGCAAAGAGGGCTTATTTAAGTATGGGTTTTCTGCTGTTCTTAAGAGCTAAACTTCCTAGAAAAATAACTTCCCTTTAAATTAGATATTGCAAAATTTGAAATGTAGCCATTTCTTGATTCTTATGCTTTTCTCCTGAGTCCCCTGCAGGCTATGAATTTTGGGTTTCCCTTATGTGAAATATGCTGGCTGAGAAATACAGTGGAAAATCATATGACACAGAAATAATTTTGAAATATGGGGGTGGGATGGCTCTGTAACCTTAGGGGCCCTGCTTCCACACTGAAAGAAGAGAGAGCAAGAATCCACATTTTCTTTATTTATACAGGGGGCTTCAAAAGGATTTTGATGGAATGTTCTTTTGCCAAATAAGGTAGGTAGTGGGCTGTCCAAGCCAAATGGGTAATGCCCAAATCCGGAGCTTTGAGAGCTATCTCATTGGTAGAGTGAGTGCAGAGATCTCATGCCTTGGGCAGTCTACACATAGAAATGCCAGGGATCATTCTCAAGGGGAGACCTAAGTCCCCATGGCTCAGTACCAAGTAAAAGACTACTTAAGTAGTATCATGGGTGGCGTACCACAGCTATTTACTATAAATAATCAACTGTTTAAAGCCATCTCATCTCCAGAAGAACTCAAGTTTCAAGGAATTACCAGTCAGTAATACTTTATTGTCATTTCATTGCCAACATTTACAGTCACTCTGAGATTCCTATTATCAGAAGTCCTAATAATATTGGATAAATATGATAGATGCACATTCTCTCAAGTCTCATTTTAGCTGTGAGTTAAAAATTTTGTGATATAACAAGTGAAAAAATACATTTGTGTTTTTCCTGGCTGGTAAGAATTGAGTGCAGGAAACCTGTAACCATGAATCACATAATTTCTGTGTAAATGAATTTATTGTAGACTTTCCTGAATTTCTCCACAGTGCTTGATCATTTTCTCCTGGCAGTGTTCCTGAATGTGCCACTTTTCTTAGCAAGTATCTGTCTCATATATTTTTCTTTTTGTACCTATCTTCCTTTCTTTTTCTGTTCCAGTCTCTCCTGATCTTGTTTTGAAGCTTGTCTCTCTAATTATAATAATGGAAACCAAAACGACCTCTTACATGTTCTAGTGGCCACTTAAAAGTTAAAACCCATTTCTTCTTTCCCCATCGTCTTTAGTGTGTATTTTACTAACAGAAAACATTTAAGACTTTTTTGAAACAGCAAAAGAAGGTTTTTTATTTATTTTTTAATTCTTAAGAAGTAAATGACTCACAATTACACAGCATGATGAAATCGGGCATTATTAGAGTCAAAACACAGCTTAGTAGAGTGTGCCAGAGCAGGTGACTCAAAAAGACAGTTTGGCAATTTTCCCAAATGATCTGAAAAATGTAAAGCTGATTTTCTCCTCGTGATGCAAGCCATTCTAATGATTTGTTGAACAGGCCAGTAAAGTTAATTCTTAAATAATGTAGGTTTGTGAAAATGAGCTTGTTTGTTTCCTAAAGTGGTCTCTTGCTTCAGATACTGATTTGTCAAACTGTGATTGTAGTTGCCTGATGGTGAAAGTTCCTAATTATTGCTCATTGCTTCTTACTGTTCCCACCAAGTGCCTCACGTCCATGGAAATTACACACTGTACACTGAACTATTGGGAAAGGAATTCTCCTTCACTATGGGTGAAACTTTTTCTGTGTAAAAAGTGATATGAGCTATAGTCCATTGCTTTTATTTAGAGCAAGAAATACTCAGCAGCTGCTTTCAAGTTACATTTTTCTTTTTAATGGTCAAAACCTTGGTTTCTAAGCAATATCATGGTTTTTAAAAAAATAAATATTTTCCAAATATTAACTGTATCTTTGACTATCCACTGTTTCAAATGTTGTTATGCACAAACAATAATGCAGTAAAACAAAGTTGAGTATAATTACTGAGTTCTGCATACTTGTTAGAGTTGCAGTTTTACTAATTGGAGAGTTAAATGAAGCTAAATATAATAATTCTGATCTGAGTATTGGCCGACAGCTTGTGTAATAGCATAACAACTCAGTAATGCTAAGATGACATATAAAGAATTGTTATGCTTGGTTACCAAATACATCTTAATTTGTTGAGATGGGTTTGCATATTCTGGCCTGTGATATAAAGTTGATAGAAAAGCAATGAAATAAAACCAGGGTTACTATAAGCAAATAAAGTTTTTTCCAAGCTCTAACTATTAAAGAAAGAGAGACAGAAGAGGGAAAGGTGGGGAGACACTGACTTGTTACTCTTACATTGAGAGCTGAGAAGCTTATAATGCAACAAACTCAAAACTCTACTATGAGATTTATTCATTTATTATTTGACATGCCCATTTGATCATAACTTACAGTTTTGATTTGGATAGGAAATTTTTCTGCTTAAAAGAGTTAGTTTATAGTACATGAATTGGCATTTATACAAATTGTTGGAGTAGTGGTTTTTCAACCATGGATGCACCTTAGATTCACATGGGGGAGCCTCTACAAATGAGTGCCCAGGGTGGGACCCACAAAGTGCTTTTCAAAGTTCATTTTCATGGGCAGCCAAGAATGAGAACCATTGTTAGAGAATGGTGAGCTTCATTAGAGGCTTTATCTTGAGTGGCACTGAAAGACTTCATTTAGGCTTTTTACACCATTTTAAGGCTTGGGTGAGATTTTTCAGCTTAGGAGCATTAATTACTCTCTGCAACTAGTAAGTACATATGATTCTCATAAAAAGGAAATATACTGCAATTGCCTTTTAGGGAACTTTTTTTCAAAATTGCCTATTAAAATGTTAACATTAGCCTTTATTAATTCATTGGCTTATCAGAACTACTAGTTTATTTGTAAATCCATTTTATGGCATTTATACATTTTTAGGATCTTTAAAAGCTAATTTCCTATAACATGCTACTTATTTATTATATAATATGGGAGAGAAAGCAAAGTGGGAAGCCCTAAAATGGGTCTTTGGAATATTAGAAATTACACTTACCCTCTGGGCAATCAGAGTGATCAGTCAATATCATACTGTTTACAAATTCTATCAAATCGTCTTTTGGTTTCTGTAAATTATGTTTCTGTGGGGTGAGAAAATGTATTAGGAAATCTGAGGGGATGAATTCTTACTACTTTGTATGAGAAAATCCAAGTGTGAATATTCAGTATTTTGGATCTTCAGCTATTTGGGTCTTCAGCTATGTTTGCCATTCACTATCTAAAAGACCCAGTCAACATTCGAACTTCTGGAGCCACCATATCATAACTGGATGCCATGGCAACCATTGCCATTTTTTCTGCTGTCCTCAGTCAAACTGAAGGAAGCAGAACCACACTCATGGTCTGAGTCTGTCATGGAGACTTGAATAAGAATATGATGAACCAGTGCTTTTGAATACTGATTATTCCTAGAAGTGCTTTTGTCAGATATATCCCTGAATTATATATTGTCTTTCAGAAATCCTAATGATCTTCCCAAGAATAACTCTCCATGTGTTAAAATCTCATGTTGACTAATCCTCCACTAATAATCAGAAAAGTTGTGGCTGTTTACTTTTTTTTCTTTCTTTTTTATTAATTTTTCTTTATGTATGACAGCATTACAATTCATATTACACATATAGAGCACAAATTTCTTATATCTCTGGTTGTAAAGACAGTAATGTAAGTGAATGTTTATGTTTTGTTATATTAGAATAGCAAATTCAAGGTGAAACCAGGTCTTTCTTTTTGACCACATTGTTTTGGTAGGACCAGATGGATCATACTTCTTCAGGTCGTCATCCAAACAGAAAAAGAAAGGTAGCAGAGGCTGAATTTTTAAGTGTGTCTGTTTTTATTGAGGAATTTTATGCTGCAAAATCAAAAATGAAGTATATTGAAATAATATCAGAGTAAAATCAATACAAGGAATATGGAGATTTTTGCTTACATTTAAAAACTAAAAATAAAGTAATATGATTACTTTCATGTGTTAAGAGACAAATATTGATCAAGTTTTTAAAGAATTCTGTGTTAACATTTTGAATCTGCAGTGTATATATGTTGGAATTTGAAGGCTTTAAGGGTCTTTTTTACCTTGTTTAATCTTTTTATTTTCCACTAAGGCTGCTGAGGCCCAGACCATTAAGCATCTTGCCCAAATTTAATTTCCTACTTAGTGACAGAGCCAAAACTAGAATTAGAATTTAAAAATCTTCTGATTTTCTTTTACAGTCCATTTTCATCTTAGCATTCTTCTTTACAAGGAATAGTACAGCTCTGAATTTGAGTGGTAAGATAGTGACAAATGACAAACACAGCCAATGAGTACTTCATATTTTAATTTTATTTTTTGGTTTTGCAGCATTTTAGAAAATAAAATTAAAGATTTATTTTGCTTTTTAAGTAGTTTGATGCAGTAATTCTCTACCTAAATCTCCTTTTTTCCTAACAGCTATTTCCACAATCCTGAGTATCACATTTTTGTGTTCTATTGATGTGGAAGTTATTAATGTTTAATGGCAGTGGATGTGATTGACTCATGTTTTGAATCTTCTTTAACATTGTCCAGTCTGGATGTTGTAAAAGGAGATGTTCCATATAGTGCCTATTATCTTAATAATTTAGTCTAACTCATATAATACAGTATCTATGACAACTTTTATAATTGTGTTTTTATCTTCCTACATCAACAGATGAAATTTACAAAATAGTTTTTATCTTTTTTGCTAAAAGTAGGTTCCTGATTAATAAAACCTTTGGATGGAATAACATTTTTTTTCCTTAGAAAATTATAATATTGTTAATGTTTGGAATTATGAAAATTTTTTTGGGTTAAAGAATTCTTGCTATCATTTATGCTTTTTTGTGGCTTTTGGATTTACTCTGAACAGTGAGTGTTTTCATATTACCACACAATGGTGACTTGTCAACTACTGTATTTATATGAGAGATAGACTAGTTTTAGAGATGTCATATGATACCAATACATGAACTTCAGCCTATTAGTGGGTAAATAATGGCTTTTAAAATTTATTTTTCAGAACAAAGGAAGAATTATGCAAGAGACAGTGTCAGCAGTGTGTCAGATATATCCCAGTACCGAGTTGAAGTAAGTTGCTTTGGTGTTTGCTAATATTTACAGTGACTCTTGAAGGACACTAGAAGTAAAATTGGAAGTAAAATCAGGATTCTGTTTTATTTCTTTCACACAATGTATTTTAGTGTAGATTTTTCCTGTATATTTTCATCAAATACATGTTACATATAAATGTCTTTTTGCTGGTCTGTGTTCCCTTTTCATAACAATTAAAATCTTAACAGATATTTATTGATCAAAACAAATACATTCTTATGGTTTCCAGGCCCTATAATAAGACAAAGGCTTCTTCTATTTTGTACCCTAGAATCTTCTTGAAATTTGATACAGTTAGCATTTTGGTTTTATTTTTAGTTTTAACTAAGATCTTTATTGGTTCTATTTAAACAATGGTTTCTTTTTAGTTTTTTTCCCCCTTGTTATCTTTTAAGATATTTGCTTTTAATTGGAATCCAGGTGACCCCTACTTATCATGGGAAATATTTAAGCAAGGATCGATTTTTATATTGCTCTTATTTTCATTTTCTACTTTCTGAAGCATGCTTAATTAAATTTAAACCGTTTTGTTTCAGAAAGTGGTTTCAGTGGAATGAAAAGCTTGACAGTTGTTAGAGTAGAATTGCTTTGCTTCTCTGAGGTATCAGTGTCCAGAGTATTGTACTTGCAAAAATAAATTGTCTGCTATTGTGTGGCATTTAAATAACTATAATAGAGCAAAACTGGGAACATTTATTTAAGAGAATACTATTTAAACTGCGAAGTATTTTTTTTTTTTTTGAGTACTAGGAATTGAATTCCGAGGCACTGAACCACTGAGCCACACCCCCAACCCTATTTTGTATTTTATTTAGAGACAGGATCTCACTGAGTTCCTTAGTGCCTTGCCTTTGCTGAGGCTGGCTTTGAACTCGTGATCCTCCTGCCTCAGCCTCCAGAGCCACTTGGGATTACAGGCATGTGCCACTGTACCTGGCAAGAATTGGTTTCTATATCATGTTATTGTAGTTAAGCATGGCTCAGTATGAAACAGTTTTAGCTATCTTATAAATCAAGACATCATTTTCTGTATTCAGTGAAAACCCACTTGACTTCATTCTCTGAGATAACCTTGAAGTTATCAAGTGCTTTGTGTTTATCCTTCTCTTCTCTGCTAACTGGCCTCAATTACCATAAATCGACTTTTCTTTAAAAATATAACATTAAGAGTTTGTGTGTATGTATTATAAATATTTAACCTTTTTTTTTTTTTGTCAATCATAAGCACCTGACTACCTTTATTCTGGATCGGAAAGATGCTATGATAACCGTGGATGATGGAATAAGGAAGCTGAAATTGCTTGATGCTAAGGGCAAAGTATGGACTCAAGATATGATCCTTCAGGTGGATGACCGAGCTGTGAGCCTGATTGATTTAGAATCAAAGGCAAGTTTGTGAAATTTATATGATTTTGTTTTCAAGAAAGTGCCACAAATATTAATGTATGCTGTCACATCAGACTATTTGAAAATGGGTGGAAGTTTGAAAAACTAAAATGTTTACTGTATTTTAGAATGAATTGGAGAATTTTCCTTTGAACACCATCCAACACTGCCAAGCTGTCATGCATTCATGCAACTATGATTCGATTCTTGCCCTTGTATGCAAGGAACCAACTCAGAACAAGCCAGATCTTCATCTTTTTCAATGTGATGAGATTAAGGTAAAAGAATGATGAATTTTTTTCCCTTTCAAGTAGTGGGTTCTGGCAGCTTTTGAACTACCTGTTTCAATCATACAGATAGTAGGCACTAGAATTTTAGTGTCTGAGAATTTTGTAAGGAAAACAAACGAATTAGTATCTTTCTTAAGGTTTCCATGCCAAGTAAATGAAGAAGTTAAAATAATGTCAAAAATCAGATGATTCTTTTTATTTTGATTAAAAAGCATAGACAATATATTAAATTCTCATCAAAAACCTTGCACTTAAAATTAAAAATTAGATCTGCAAGAACCATGCTTCATAGACAATAAATAATCATGTGTCTGTCCCATTTTATTCTGCACTAATCACATAGCCTGGATTATTGTAGGGAAGCACTGAGACATTTTTCATGATATTGATTTACAGTTCACCATTTAATTATGTAACTTGAATAATTGCTCAGGATCTGTCATCCCTAAGTGATATGTGAGTGTAGTTGCCAGTAATAATAGGCTATCTCCTGAAATTTTATACTATAATTGTTTTTATACTGTAATTTTTGAATGAATATAATTTGTGATTCTTTATTAGACCTTAGAAGTTATCTTCAGCCTTGACTGTCTTTATTTAGTTGATTTCTCTAAAAGGGAAATAATTTTGTGTTGATTGGTACTTTGTTAAGGCAGGGATTTATTTTGATTATAAAATATACTTGTAACTTTTATAAAAAATCTGGAAGACTAGCATAAACACTTGATCTTTTCTGTGTTTCTTTGACATTAAAATGCTATGGCTAAATTAAGACTAAGTACAAACAGTAAACTTTACAATTTTTTTCTAATTTCAGTTTATGTCATAGATGACTGACTGAAAATCTTATTTGAAAGGAACTGTGTCATTTAGTTAATTTGAATTTTTTATGTTCATTAGATTTGTATATACTGTGGTGCATTTCAAAATTCACAAATTATATTAAGAATATGTTTATATTAAGAATTAAGAATATATTTTGTAAGGTTATAGTCTTTTAATGTTACCTTCCTGTGGACCATTTGGGTCCCTAGCTCCCAAGCAGCCTGCTCTTCTGACCTCTGTAGCTCCAGCCAGTCTTGCTAGGTTTGACCACACACTGACCCATCTCAGGGGCCTTTCTCTTGATTCTTCTTCCAGGAATGTTGACTGCTCTGTGCAGCAGGAGAATCATGCCATTCTCTGTCCCCTACCTTGCTTTATTTTACTCCACAGCATTATTATCATCTGCTTTTTATAGTCTACATTTACTTTTTAGTTATTCATTTATTTTTCTCCTGTGCTACAGTAAGAGCCCAATGTAGACAGGACATTTGTCTGTTTTGTTCATATCCTGGGATATAGAAATGTGATTTTATTTATTATTTTTATTTGACAAACACATATATAATAGCAGGTGCTAAATAAATACTTGTTGAATAAACAAAAAAGAACTTTGTAAGGTTAGATGTTTTTAAATCAATACATGTTAATGAATAGTTTGCTCTGAAAATGTAGTGAAATTTTTTTATTAGTTGCACATGACAATACAATGATCTTGACATATCATACATTTGAATCAAATGGGGTACAATTTCTCATATCTCTGTACAGTTTGCAGAATCACATTGGTTATACAGACACATATATACTTACAGCAATACTAGTGTCTATATTATTAATTCAGTGGTTTTAAGTGAAAAAGCACTTCAGATTTATTGTTTGCATCTGTGCTCTCCTTGGGGGCTGAGATATACTCTACTGAGGAAATTTCTGGATTTCAGTTTGAGAATAAAGGGCTTTCCTTCTTTGATATGGGATGAATAGTGATGGGTTCAAACAGGATTTACCAAATACTATTTTATCTTAAATAAAGTTCACATACCACTAAGTGACTAAACATTCATTGGTGCTATTCTTCCTATGTGAGACATGTTTTTCTTTTGACTAATTTAAAAATAAATAAATAATAAATATATGTGTGTATACACACACCCGCAATATTTATAAATGCAAACAAGATGCAGTTTCTTTTATGTGGATCATATTGCAGTATGATTTTTATCTTGAATTTTAATGTTTATTATGGGACTTCATATAGTGGTCCTGTCCACCATAGTGGTAAATTTTTTCTTAGCAATATAATAGTCTTCCTATAGAAGGTCAGCATTTCTGGACATTATCAGTTTTTCTGTTCTGCACAGTAGCCAGCCTTTGACATGTTTATAATAATTTATTGGAATTGGACATTGTTGCAGATGTGACACTACCCTGGGAAGCACTGTATTCTCATTCCACTAATGGTATGACCTTGGACAGGCATGCCATGTAAGTGTTCCTGTATCATTAACTAGAAAAGAAGTAGAACAGATTAGATGATCTTAGGTGTCTGTTTAGTGCTAAAATTTTATGATTATTAGTGCTTACTCTAAAATAATATGCAATATACATATTTAAGAAAAACATACATAATTATGAAGAACAAGCAGGCATAAAAATAGGAGATGAATACATCAGCAGTAATCTTTTATACAGTAATAATCACTGGCTATAAATAAACTTCATAACCAGATTAAGTAAATTTTTTAGCTGCTTATCTCACATTGGTTTCTAAGAAAATGTACTTACAGATTAATCTTTCTGGAAAGATGTTAGAAAGATTGCAGAAAGTTAACTTTTACCTGAAATGACAAAATAAGAATGGTTGTCAGAAAAGGTACAACCTAGTGTGGAGGTTCATTCCATGAGCACAGTGATATGTGAGTCAGCTAGCCACTATGACAAAATGCCTGAGATTATCAACTTATAAAGAGGAAAGGTTTATTGTAGGTCACAGTTTTAGAGGTTTCAGTCCATAGTTGCCTAACCGCTTGCCTTTCGGTCTATGGTAGCACAGTATCTCATGGCAGGGTGTTTGTGGTAGAGGAGCTGCTCTTCTTATGGCAGCCAGGAAGCAAAAACAGTGAGAAAGAAAAGGCTTGGGGTTCCAATATCTCCAGAGACCTGCTGTTTTTCCAGTAGGCCCCACCTCCTCAAGGTCCCACCACCTCCTACAGCACCACCATCAGGGGACCAAGCATGTAATATCAGGTTTTGGGGGGACAATCAAGATCCAAACTGTAGCATCAAGACACATACCGATTCAGACAATGGATGTAATCGTGTATTCTGTTTTAATCTACATATGAAATCTAAGAAAAATCTACAGCCTTCCAGATGACTGGTCTCTCTTTGCAGGCGAATCTGATAAGTGAAGATATTGAAAGTGCAATCAGTGACAGCAAAGGAGGGAAACAGAAGAGGCGCCCCGAGGCCCTGAGGTAAAAGCATTAAAATGTATTAAGGAGTAGAATTGGCTTTTTATCTTTTTTTTTTTTCCCCCTCTCCTAAAGGTTTCTAGGACTCATTTTCAGTGGAGGTTCCCTGTTCTCCCTTACAGATGACAGCCTGCGGTCTGACTCCTTTGCTCTCACAGGCTGTCAGCATGTGTCTGCTCCTGCCTTTCTATCCCTGTGTCTGGCCTTCCTCTGACATGCTTCTCCTACTTGTGTGGGAGTCATGAGAGTCAGGACAGATGAGTGGTGTTTTCAGAAAAGATAGCCTAAGGCCATACAAACTGGACATGTTATTGGTCCTAGCCTTCCAAATCCCATGAGACCCAGGGGAAAAGGAAATTCAGCCTCGTTTTCAGCTGAATTTTAATTTTTCTGTATTTTTTCTATCTCATTCATATTTATAAATAGATCCAGTGTGAAGTGGTTAGGAAGTCCTCATTGCCCCTTGGCACAGTTCTTTTTGAAGGTGAAAAACTAACACTAATGGAGAGAATTGACCCATTATAGAAATAGGGTGAGAAGACAATTTCTTCTTTTTTAGGATGATTTCCAAAGCAGATCCTGGCATACCACCTCCACCTAGAGCTCCTGCACCTGTGCCACCAGGGACTGTCACCCAGGTGGATGTTAGAAGTCGAGTAGCAGCCTGGTCGGCATGGGCAGCTGACCAAGGGGACTGTGAGTATCTCTAGAATTAAGTCTCATTGAGCACTTATTTTGGATTTCAATGTAGTACTTGCTTTCAAATGTGGAGTTACACTAGTTGTATATTCATTATGAACATAGAGGAAAGTTATGTCTGATTCATTCTACAGTCTTTCCTATTTCCACCCCACCCCCAACTTCTCATTATATTTTTTTCTGAAGTATTCTCTACAGTGTCATCTGTTAAAATTTCAGTGAGGCAAGGTTTTCAGAACTTCCAGGCCAAGCAGAACATGACTCTTAGTGCATGTGGTTCTCTCTGGATCCAGGCCAGTTTTAGTTAGAACCCCCCAACCCTCAGCAGAGGAGAATTGTTCTGGTCTCTCTGAGACTGTGGCCAACACAGTCCATGAAGCTTCTTGGAACCCCTGAGGTAGAATTACCCTGACTTCCCAAAGTGACCTGTGAAGAATAGCAGCAGTGGTGCCTCAGAGCTGCCAGAGTCCTAAGATACCATACCTCCCACTTCTTCTGCCCTCTAGATGATATTTTGGGACCTCCCTGGGGTTCCTGCTTTCTGTAGCAGCTATAGCCAAGATAGCAGCTGTATGTAAAGCTGCAGCTAACTGGCAGGACTTCATACAGATAAATACTAATGATCTTAAAGTAGTTACAGCTACTAATTAAGTTTCATAAGGCTCAGCAAGTTTTTCCTTTATTTTTTGGGCCAGTATTCCACTTATGGGTTATGTTAACATAGAGGAGGCATAGAAATACAGAGTTTTCAATATTTGTTAGCAGCTCTCTGTATTGAACATCAGGAGTCATCATGCTGTTATATTTCCTTTCATTGTGATTTGCTGCTCTTGTTCTATCCATATATTTTTAAATTCAATCTACTATGAATATTTGTACAATGATCTGTGTCTGGTGGGAGTGCTAACTGACTCACACCAGGAAGGAGCTCATGATAGCCACCTCATGACTAACATCATGCTCCCATCAACTGAGCTGCCTTAGCATTTCAAATGCTCTTGAGACATTTATTCTTGAATTTGCAAATTCCTGAAGGTATTTCTGACTTAGGGAATATGGCTCAAAATTAATGAGCCCAACATTGTAGGTTTTAAGCTTAATTACAACAATAACTCCCAAAGTTTTATTGTAGCCGCAATGTTGGAATGCATAGAAATTAGTGGCTTTGCTATGTTAGAATTTAGTTGGCTGCTTTTTGAGAAATAGATGCTTAATTGCTAGCTTATATTTCTTCCTCATGTAGGAATTAAAGCATGCCAAGTTAGGATTGATTCCATAGGTTACTGACAGGGAGGAGGGAGAACAGAGGGGCATTACAGGGCAAATAAACATCATCCAGATGGGAAGGCCAGGACTCCACCTCTGCTCAAGTGCTTCTGATAGCTGTGGCAAGGAGGCCTTTTGGATCATGAGCACATTTGATTTGTGCATTCTGTGGATGTGGTCCCTTTGCACCTGGCATTATTTTCTATTCTGTTTTTATCAGCTGTATTGGTATTACCTTAGTAAAAGTTTACAGACTTGTGATTCTCCTTTCTTCAGTTGAGAGACCACGGCAGTATCACGAGCAGGAAGAAACACCAGAGATGACAGCGGCCCGAATTGACAGAGATGTGGTAAGTACACCATTCACCTTAGACCATTACTTTTTTTTAAAGAGGAAAAATAATACACTTCGATGAGGTGATTTAAATAAAGGTGTTTTATGGAAATTATGATTTATTTTTCCAGTGGTGGTTATGGTGTTTGAAATACTTTCTTTTTCCCTTTAGCTATTTTACTTTTCTTCTAGTACTTAGTAGTTGTGATAGAACTAGGATATTAACTAGTTTACAACGGAATTGAGACTCAATTATCAGCTATGAAGGATATTTCAGCTTTTCTTTTCTCATAGTTTATAAAACATACCTGAGATATCTTTTCAATATGTCTTGGGGTTTATTAAGACTTCATTTTAGAATACCACAATAGCAGTTTAGTGGCATTTTAAATGACAAATATGTAAATTTTAATGGGACCTCTATAAATATGTAAATGTTAATACATTGTAAAGGGTAGTGCTTTTTATTTCCCTGTAATAATTTACTTGCAGGGTGACAGTGTCCTGTGATATAGAATATAATATCACCATAATTACTTTTTGTACTATATACATGTTTCTGTTTATTTAGAAATAAATACTTAAAGGAATTTGAAGTTTGGAACTTAAGTTTTACATCACACAATTACATGTTAAGCATTTATCCAACCCCAAATTCTAGTCTGTAAGAAACATATAAACTGGAGAAAGTCAATGACTACAATATATAAGATATATAGATATACAATATATAAGTAATTAATTATCCAGTGATCCCTGAAAGTACATGTATTATTATCTCTATTTTATCATGTAGAAACTTTGGTTAATGCTTTTCTTTCTTTTATTTTCTTTCTTTCTCTTTATTTTTTCTTTGCTGGGCCTCATGTGGTGCATGCTAGGCAAGTTCTCTACCACTGATCTACACCACCAGCCCACAATGCCTGTTATCAGCTATTTGTTTGTTAGATTATCACAGTATTCCAAAAGCCTTTAATTCCATGAAATACTATTGTCAGTTCTTTATTAGGACATTTATTAGCAAAACAAAATGCTCAGTGCTGTTCTAAAAAACATTTCTTAGAATTTCCCCCCTCACTTTGTGTGGGAGAACACTATGAGAAAATTAGAGTAATTGAAAATAGTTAATAATCTGAGTAGATATTGTGAATGCTTTCCTGATGGTATTAAAAATACAACAAAATTAAATTAAAGAAAAATGCAGAGGTCAGACTTTAGCCACAGGTATATTCAATTCTTTTTCTTAGAATTAGTGATTAACTTAAAACCTGCCTTTAGGCATTGTTTATTACTTTTCTTTTCTTTCTTTCTTTTTTTTAAACTTTCTATTCTTCACTTACTAGCATTGTACAGCTAAAGCAAGAATTGTTTTGCATTGTTTTATATTTTATTTGGCAATTTCTAATTCCAGCAAATCTTAAATCATATTTTGGATGACATTGAATTTTTTATCACAAAACTCCAAAAAGCAGCTGAAGCATACTCTGAACTTTCTAAAAGGAAAAAAACTAAGAAAAGTAAAAAAAAAGGACCAGGAGGTAAGTTGGGTTTTCTTAATCTTCCAAAGAGCATTCAAAACTCCAGTTCTAAGTAGAATTTCTGCCCTTGGAACTGCTTAGCAAAACTCATTGACTGTGAACCAAGATGCCTTATCTAGTTTGGGGATAGCACCAGAGATTTAGGCAGTGATGTTGAGCCCAGAAAAGAGCTTATTTTGGTTCAGGCTGGCTATAGTGAAGAAAAATCTTAGGATGCACTGTATGAATCACAGAGATTCTATGATTCAGGTAGTGACCATGTATCTATAGTTTTCATTATAGTGATTTTAAAATTGGCATCTAGTAAGGAAATCTGTAGCTCTGTTCTTTTATGTGGATTAATTTTATTGTAAATATAGAACCTCATTATTTTTAAAATAAAAGTTGACTTCTCATTAAAATGCTTAAAAATGTTAATGGATTTGAATTTATCATCACAAAATTCCAAACGTGCACATTCAAAGTGACATACAATTTTGAAGTATGCTCCATTTCGGCTATTTCAAATGCCTCAAAATATGTAAATTATAAATATGAAAGTATTATTTATACTTCCTTTGGCAAGTGGTTTAACTTGAAATGTATAAAAGAATAGTAAATAAATGTCTCTTCCATTATGGATGACTTCCAGATCTTTGTCTACCAATATAATAGGCACTTGGCACTTAGTATTGCCTTTCAGATGTATATATCTGCCATATACCTCACCTCCACATATTTGGAAACTAAGTATTGTTCATGGTGCTCAACCAACCACTTCCTTCTGTATTCTTTATAAAGGACAAATTATCCTCTTGCCCCACCTGATTCAGAACCACAGATTCTTTCATGACTTTATTCTCTAGCTTGTTGCCAACATTGGTTTATTTTTTCAGTGTCTCTTGTATCCATTTTTTTCCCCCTTTTCCTTTTCATAAGTAGCATCCAGTTCAAATGATTATAGTTTCTTAACCCAGCTTTCTAAGCAATCTTTAGGCCTTTTATGCTGTGAGAACACTTTTCCTAAATCTCTGGTCAATCACTTTATCCTTCTGCTATAAAGCATGTTAGTTCCATGTTTTATTGATTTAATCAGATTCCTCACCCTGGCGGTCAAGATCATCCACAGCCTAACCTAATGTATCTGTCTGTTCTCATGTTTCTCTGGATTAATGTTTGTTATTGTGTGTACTTGCAAATTATTTCTCCATAAGCTATTTTCATCCAACCATGATGATTTCTACAAATTGCCCTAAAAAATTAAAAACAAAAAAAACTTTCAAATCTCATTTTAAAAGTTGCTATCCTCCAGAAACATTTTTTAGATCTACATTTCCAACTCCCAATCAGGTGTAGTTTCTTCTACAGTGTTTTAACACTGAGTTCTGATTCATGTCTCCCATTATATTTTAAGACCCTTCAGAACAGGGTTTATAACTTACTCATTTTTAATCTTTGCAATGAGCAGCACAGTGACTGGTGCATAGAGGCTTCAATACATCTATGTGGAATCAAATGAGTCCTTGGTAATGTGGAAGGTTAGAGGACTCCACTCAAATTTTGGATCATCTTAACTAGTTACAGTGATACTATGAGATATGGCAGAGTAGAAAGGTAGCATGATTGGTATTATAAAACTATGAAGACATGAATATGTTTTTTTTATTATTTAACTTATTCTTGGAACTTTGTTATTAACTTTATTATTAACTTTTTCTTGGAACTTTGTTCTCATTTTCCCCTTATGTTTTGTAGAGGGTGTTTTAACACTGAGGGCAAAACCTCCACCTCCTGATGAATTTGTGGACTGTTTCCAGAAGTTTAAACATGGATTTAACCTTCTGGTAAGTGCAAATTATTTATATATAATTTGAAGGAATAAATGAAAAAGATCAAATCTAGCCAGGAGGTTCCTAAAAATTAAGAGAATATCTAATCTGTTTTTTATATTTGTGTTTTGATTGACTGTAAAACAACAAATTATAAAACTTGTATATCTAAGAAACTTAGTAAAAAAAAAAATGACCCCTTATTTTTTAAATCGAATTTATTTTATTCTCATTCTCTCCAGGCTGGTAAATATACTAAAAGTAAGACCAATGAATCTACATCAGACCTCCTTAAGTGTCTATTTTTTGCTTGATTACATCTTAGTAATATATATGTTTATTTTCTTCTGTTGCAGGCCAAACTGAAGTCTCATATCCAGAACCCTAGTGCTGCTGATTTGGTTCATTTTTTGTTTACTCCATTAAATATGGTGAGATTTTATTAATTTAATAAATTAATCATTCTTAGTATGTTTTTCAGCTCCAAGAGTCAACACTATTTATCTAGTCAGTTTTTCTTCATTATCTTGCTGTTTCTCTTACCATTTCATTAAAAATTGAGAATGTGAGATTTGAGAGTTTAAAAGAACCTTAGAAATAAGCAATTCATGCACTTTATTTAGAGCTGTGGATGTAGAGTGCTTGCCTAGAAGATACAAAGTTCTGGATTCAAATCTCCAGAACTACAAAAACAAAAACAAACAAAAAAACCTCCACCTTATTTTAGAAATTAAGAAACTGGCATTTTTAGGTAAGTGAAAAATAAATAAAAGTTTATTGGATACTGTTGTTTCAGAACCCACTGGTGTATATTATAGAGTAGCTTAAATGAGATAGACATTTTTTTTTCTTTTGTACCAGGAATTAAACCGAGGGGCATTTAACCATTGAGCCACATCCCCATGCCTTTTTTGTATTTTATTTAGAGACAGGGTCTCACCAAGTTGCATGAATCCTTAATAAGTTGCTGAAGCTGACTTTTAACTCCTAATCTTCCTGCCCCAGTGTCCCAAGCTGCTGGGCTTATAGACATGTGCCTCTGTTCCCAGTGATACAGGCATTTTTATCTCTCTCAAACTAGGCTAATCATGGGAAGTCAAGTGTTGGATGGATGGCTTTCCTCTATGAAGTTATATAGGACCCAAATTCTTCACATTAAAATGTTCATCCAACAAACATCAGTTGAGAGCCTCCTAGGTAATTGACAGGACAGTAGCTCATCAGGAACAGATGTACAAAAATTCTTACTCTCTTGAAACTTATATTGTAATGTTGGAGGGGCAACCAATATGGTAAATAAATGCACAAATAGTACAGTTTTCTAGAAATTAGATGTTTGTGAGAAAATAGGGCCAGGAATATCAGCAGGGAGTGCCATGGGTGGCTACATATGTGTTTGTGAGTGTGTCGTGGAATGTCACCCTTTATGAATAGGGTTGGTTAGGGAAACCTCACTAAGAAGATGCCACTGGAGTAACGGAAGTAAGGAATGAGTCATGTTGATTTCTGAAGGAAGACAATTTCAACCAAAGAAAGGCCTAGTGTGAATGCTCTGAGGTGGTAATATACAAAGCATGTTCTTAGAATACACAGGTATTGTAATTTTAACAAAATGAGGGGAAAAAAGATTATAAGGAGATAGAATTAGAAGGCAATAAGATAACCTGAGGATATATCTCATTGGTCCATACATGAATGGTGAGACCTTTGATTCATGGGCAGTTTTTAGCAGAATAGGACTGCTCTGGCTGCATTTTTAGAAATTTGAGTGAAGAATGGACCAGGGTGTCTGTTAACATAATCCAGATGGGAGATTAATGGTGCTTGGACCAGGTGGCATTGGAGGTGGCAAGGGGAAAACCAGTTATTAATTTTCTGGTGGATTGCACGTGCTATGCAAGATTTACCAATCCCTCCTTTGGCCTAAGACTGGCAGGATGGAGTGGTTATTGACTCAGAAGGGGAGGCTATGGGCAGAACAGATTTTTGGAGAAAGATTAGGGCTTCAGGTTTACACATGTCCAAATTGAGTTGTATCCAGATGGGGAAATTTGAATCAATAGTTGAATATATGGATTTGAAGTTCAATGGAGAAATCAGGCCTAGAGATGTACAATTGAGGATCATCTGTGTGTCAAGAGCATTGGATGATGTCAATAAGATTGTGTTTGTTAATAAAGATTGTATTTGTTAATAAAGAAGACCAACAAGGACTGGTTGAACCTGATGGTGCTCCATACAGAGTTTCAGATTTCTACTTATCTAGTTATAGTTCAGTAATTCTTGTCGTGTAACAAATACTAGCTTATTAGCAAAATTTGTATTCTTTGGCATACCTTTGATCCTATCTTATTTTGGGTTATTAGGAAGTATTATTTATAATGCAGTTTCTGTTCACCCTGTTTAATTATTCACAACTTGTAAATAGAAATCTAGTCATTGCAGAGTAGAACTATACAACAGTGAGACTGGTTTTCCTAATCTGTAGCTCATCTTTGTGATCAGGCTTAATTTCTAAGAACATTGGTTCATTTAATCTCTGCCTTTCTCAAAAATGACTCCTTATTAACAGTAGCTACTTTGTAGCTACATTAAATGTTCTTCCTGTGGGACCAGGCTTATTACCTGGACAGTTGGGAAAAGACCAACTGTGGTGGGAAGCTGTGTTGAGGGTTAAGCTGTGGTGTTAAGAAAGTCTTCCTAGGAGAGGCAGTGCCTGGGAGCATCTGAGTGGTGGAGGAAGGGCCTTCTGCGGTACAGAGAATAGCATGTGCAAATACAAAGAGGCATAGAACAGCAGAGTACACTCATAACTGGAGGCTGGAAGATAAATTGACTCTTGGTCTGAAGCCATTTGAAAAACAATCTTCTTTCTTCTTATACCACATCTTTTAGAGGTGAGATTTTTCTTTATAAAAGGGTTCTGATTTCTGCTTTAGGAGATAACTGCTCTTTAGCCAGGAAGTCGCTCTTGAGGAGCAAGTGCGGAGCAGTGTTTGGACTTCCATTTCTCTTCGTTCTGCTTATCAGAGCGTTGCACCTGTTTGTTTCTGCTGGTCATTAAATTATCCATATTAAATCAGGGAAATTTCCTGGAATTAAATTCTGGGGGAAATTCTGTAGATTAGAGTACCTGTTCTCAATTTTCTGTCACCTTTCTCCCAGATCCTTTTATTTTTATACATCTGAATAGGCACAGCCGTGGACTAATAATTCAAGATTGATTTCTCAACAGTTTTCATTTCTAGAACCGTATTTTTCAAGTATAGGGTAATAGATTTTCCAGTAGAAAAAAATATATTTAAAATAACAAAAAAACAAATATAGTGAAATCAAAGGATGAAGAATTTTCTGCATAGCCATTAATATTTACCAGGAAAAATACAGTCATATAGTCAATATGTGGATACTGTTCATGTTTAAACTGTTAACTTTCATTTTAGATTTTAAGGCACCATTGGACTGGACAAGTTGATTATTTATTTATTTATTTACTTTTGGTACCAGGGGTTGAACCCAGGCACTCTCAACCACTGAACCACATCCCAGCCCTGTTTATTTATTAATTTAGAGACAAGGTCTCACTTCATTGCTCAGGGCCTCGCTAAGATACTGAGGCTGGCTTTGAACTTGTGAACCTCCTGTTTCAGACTCCCAAGTCACTGGGATTCTAGTGCCACAATGGCCAGCAACAAGTTGGTTTAATAAGCTGTTTTTTATTCAGTAGTGTGTTGAACAAATTAAAAATTTAATGTGAATACATAAAAACAGTGCTTGTTTTTGACATGGGTTTTTGTCTACACAATTGGAAAATACAGAAATAATAGTCATCTTTTTGCTAAAATATACTTTATCATTCTAGGTAGTGCAGGCAACAGGGGGTCCTGAACTAGCCAGTTCAGTACTCAGCCCTCTCTTGACTAAGGACACAATTGATTTCTTAAATTATACTGTCAATACTGATGAACGGCAGCTGTGGATGTCACTGGGTGAAACTTGGATGAAAGCCAGGTGAGATATATGAATTTAGCATTAATACCTGTACTGCTGTAAGTATTGTTTTTCATTTATTGCATTCATCTGATGAGACATTTATCTAACTTTCTATGTATAAGGACTAGGTGTTATAGGATGGAAAAGCCTAAAACCTTAAAAAGCTTTAAGTCTAGTGAAGGAGGTTGAAGTATAAGCAGTGTAAGGCTTGGTGAGTGCCAGGAGCAAGGCGGAAGCAGAATGTGGTTGGTTGGCAAGATGGATCAGGACGAGGACTGAGAGAGGACGATAATTAGCTTTTGTGAAAAATCTGCCATTTCAAACAACAGATAATAATTCTAGTAGGTACAGGTATGTACACACAATATATACACACACATATGTGGTGTTCACACCCAGCGTGTTTGCTATGTTCTTCCACACACTTTACATGGAGGTTGTTATTATCTCTATTTTACAGATGAAGAAAGTGAGGACCAAAGATGTTAAGTGATTTGCCCAGAGTCACACTACTTGTGACAGAGCAAGGATGTGCACCTGTAGTCATTGTTTATGTTTCCTTTGCTAAACTGCCTTTCAGTAGGATAAGTAGGATCTCCCTGCCATGTAGCAGGGAAGGGCCTTCCCATTAGAAAGAAAGATACAAGGGAAAGCAGGAAGCAGGGAAGTCCAGAGCACGTGTGACGGGTTTATCTGGAGAGGGACGGTAGGTGGTGGATGACTGTGAAGAAGAGATGGAGGAGGAGGGTGTTAAGTTAGGCATTCAGAGGTAAGGTTTCCAAGGTCATGAGGGAACCTGGGTCTGGTTCTGAAGGCTGTGGAGAAACTAGTAACTGAACAGGAGTATGATGTGACTGCATCCCTGTTTCTAAAAGATCAGTGTGGTAGTTGTGTCCAGTGACTGGAGGCAGAGCGGCATCTTGGGAAATGCACACTGTGGTAGAGGTTCTGTAGCATCAGCGTCCTCCAGGGCCAGAACAGTTGCAGTGGAACTGTAAGGGAAGAGTGGATAATTTTCGAAATTGTGTGTTTTTCAGTAAAGTGATTGAGAAAGACAAATCATTAACAAGTGCAAGACTAATGCTTGCCAAGTAAACCAAGTTATTTCACATGTGAATAGTTTTTGCTTGCTCATTTATCTAAATCTCTTTATTCTGTTAGAGTAAGTCATTCAGTATAGTCACTTGGTTGCTTTGAACTTTGTCTTCTTAATGTTTTTGGGTGGGCTTAAAGGTATGGACCAATGAACACCTTATTTTCTTTTTTTTTTAAAGTTGATTGAATTAATTTAATAAATCAGGTACAAGTTACTTTTAAAGCATTTTATTTTCATAAACTTGTTTTCGTTTTTCTTCTATTGAAACACATACAAACCTTTCCCACTTATTTTCTGAATTTTGGCTACTGCTTGTATTGGAGTATAACTTATATTTTGAATGATTTACAAAAGTGCTTTTATAGTGAAATTATTATTAGACTTATTTATGTATCTATATGTTATATATTTGCTTATCTATTACTCATGTATCAACATGTCATACTGTATACTCTATAATACAGTTTTTATGTCATACTATATAAAACTGCTTCAATAGATTTCTTACATCTGTTAACTATATGCAGGCTATAATTTTATATGAAGCCTTGGTGAGATTTAATTTTTTTTCCCCATAAAGCTTATTAAATTTATCAGTTCTCATACAATAAAAATAGTCCAGGCTTTTTAGTTATTTTGTTTTGGGTTCTACCTTAAAATGAGAAAATTAATGAATCTTTGAAAATCTACATCTAAAGGAAATATATTGTTAGTTCTTAACATGAGAAAAGGGTCATTTCAGATCCTGATTAAGAGTATTACAAAATGAATATGCCGATTTAAAAACTCATAAAAAGAAAAGAATCATGAAGGTACATAGTAATCTGAATAAAATGACTCATTTCATCATAGTAGAAATACAATGTGAAGAATTAAATCATTTATTAAAGATGAAGCAACATATTGTAGCAAAAGTGAAGCCGTAATCCTGTCCTGGTTCTTTTGTGGTTCATGAGTGATCAGGAGCTCGTAGGAATAAGTCTCTCTCATAGTCATTGGACGATGAATGGTTAGTGATTATAATTATAGATTAGTGGACTTTGCCGATTAAAACTGAGCTGATACATTTAATTTGTAAAATTGGTCATCTGTTCCATTTTAGTGAACTTTATAATTTAAAAAATCATGAACCTTAAAACAGGTTTGACTGTTTTTTCTCTTTTGAAAGATCTCTCTTATCATGTGTTTCATGGTGATGTAAGGGGAGCAAAGGGAAAGGTGAGAGTCAGAAACTACTTTAGATTAGGAGAAGTTTATGCTGTAAATACTTATCACACTTCTGGCTTCACACTCCTTCCCACACAGATTTTTTAAAACCTATATCCATGTTGAAAAGTTGAGTTTAATGAAGACTTTAGGCAAAGTAGTAAAAACACATCATGCCACAGAACTGAATCTTTCTCTCGTTTAATTGGTGTGAATATGAGAAACATATTTACTTTCCTTGTTGGGTGAATGGAGGCCAATGAGGAATGTGTTGTTTTTTTGAGTGTGCGTTATTTGTTTTGTTTTGTGGATAACTGTACTGAAGATCATTATCAACATGGATACATTTCTTAATTTTGTTGTTTATATGACTTAATGCCCTCCTCCAGAGCAGAGTGGCCGAAAGAACAATTTATTCCACCATATGTTCCACGGTTCCGCAATGGCTGGGAGCCCCCCATGCTGAACTTCATGGGGGCACCAATGGAACAAGATATGTACCACTTGGCTGAATCTGTGGCAAATGTAGCAGAACATCAGCGCAAGCAAGACATGAAAAGATTGTCCAATGAGGTAAACATTTTTAACCACGATCTTTTTGTAGATGGAGTAGCAATGATCTATGCATTGTGATCATAAGTTCTCATTCATGTGAAGATTGTTCTAGAATCAGTTACTGTTAGTTTCTCTGCCCCAGTCTGTCTGCTATTTGTACACAAAGTGCAATATTCTGTCCTGCTGCCACTGCTTCCCCAGCCCTGGTGAACCTGAGTCTTTCTTATCCCTCCCCTCCTGCTCTTTCCTCCCTCTCTCCTTCCCTCCCTCCCTCCCTTCCTTCATTTTTTCCTTGTTCTCTCCCTCCTGCCCTCCTGCCCTTCTTCCCTCCCTCCCTCCCTCCCTCCCTCCCTCCCTCCCTTCCTTCCTTCCTTCCTTCCTTCCTTCCGCTATGAAGGAACCCAGGGCCTTGCACATATTAAGCAAGCACTGTACCACTGAGTCACATCCCTAGCCCTTTCTTTTTGTCTAGTTCAAAACTTCTGGAGTCCTGTGGGCATGACTGGAGGACCAAATTCTTTTCTGGACTTCAGTTTTCAGGTTCAAATGATTACTTAAAACACAGTCATACCCTCAGGATATCATAAAATGTATTGTGTCTTTAATGTGTTTAGTAAGCTTTATATTATAACCTATTTGGGGAGCAAATTAAGGGAATAAAATAGCAAATGATAACTAGATGCTCCTGAAGTCCTATTTTCTTCCTTTATTTAATTCCTTAGGTTAATTTTCTCATACTACACAGGTATGTATAATATGGAAAACCTGATATGAGGAAATGAATTAGCAAATCATAGTAAATTAAAGCCTGTGGCCACTTAAGGAGAAACATGTATAAATTAGATTTCTTAAAATCATTCCCCCAGGGGACTATTCTTAGGCAATAATATTATAGAAAGTTGGTTAAACTCTTGGATTTTTTAAAATAAAGCAAACACAATACTCAATGTATTTTTTTCCCAATTGTTTTTTACCTCCGGCTGCATATGAGGAGAGTGCAGGCTCCATACCTGCCCTTCCCTCTAAATGCGTAATTGAGGAGATGACCTCGTTTCCCTGAACATTGGTTGGCAAGCATATGTCCCTGCCTATACTCTTTAATTCAGAGATCATCCCACTGTGAATTTTCTATTTAGAAAGGAGTCTTTGTAGAGAAAAAGAAGTAACCTAACATGAATGTATAATACACTTGCTGTTGCTATAGTTATAGTTGTTTTCAAATAAAAAATTTCTAGTTTATAGTATTCATATCTTAAATAAGAATATGCCCACTGTAAATGTATGCCTTAGAAATTCACTTTTGGGAATTCTTTTCAATTTGTGTATTTAAAGAGAGAGTCCTGTGTTCTGGGGTTCCAGTATATAAGTTTCTCTACTCTCTATGAGTAATTTTTAAAGAGAAATTATTGAGAACACTTCCTTGTGTGAGTTATTTTCCTGTTGTAAACTTTTTCCCATTTTATCACTTAAGTGGACATCCAGAGGTTTGAAAAAATGAAATGAAAAGTGCCTGCTGGCCATTCTAGGGGATTTTTTCCTTGAGATTTTGTTGAAAAAGCGGCCAAGTAATGGTGATTTAAAATGCATGAAAAATGTAATCATACATAGAAGGGAGACTTTATTATATTTTATTGCTACTATAATAAATACATTTACAACAAGCCTTGGGTAATACAGGATCTGGTGATGTTGTCTGGAATTGAAAGGCATAGGTGATGTGGAGGGACAGATGTGCAGTTCTCGCTTCCTGACTTCCACTGACCCAGCCGCAGCCCTCAACCACACTGTGTAGCCATCATAGTTTGTCATTTTCTGTCATTTCTCACCTCCTTTCCAGCACTCCCAAGCTCTCTCAGGACCCAGTGATTTCACACTAGCTAATTCCATACTCTCTAGTTTAGAACTAGGCAAAAGGTGGGGATGACTCAGTTTCTTGCCTCTCTGCAGCACAGTTTTAATAAAAACAAATTACTAATCAAATTTAGCATCTCTGTGTTTCCTAGGAAAATGATAAACTGAATTGATTGAGCTTATATGTTTAAATGGCTGAAAATCATCTGCTCTTTGTATGCAAAGTGCAATATATTACCTGATATAATATAACATGGGCATTTTGACATTAACACACCATGGATTAACTCAGCCCCATTTCTGCCAGCCTTTTCTTTAGGATTAGCTATAGTAACCATCTATTGAAAACTTTCCTGAAACATCCCCAGTTTTATATATCTCAAAAAATTTGTCCCTGTGAATCCATAAACAATCGAATATTGAGGAATTAAAATGTTTCAGCGTCTATCATTCTTTCCTAGTATTTCTTTGTACATAAGGAAACCATATGAAATCTTTAAATGGTAATATTGTTTGTTTTTCTCCCAGTCTCAGATGTATCCTCTGCAGCTTTAAAACCACAGTAATCACAGGGACCCATGGGCCTCAGCTTTCCCTCTTTGTAGCACCCACTAGTTTCATGTCTGAATTAACTGCAGAAAAGAAATAACTCCCACATTGTCTTTTCCCAGACTCTTGACTATCAAGATCAATATATTTGTGTCTTTCTGTGCTTCCTTATCAGTACATCTGATAATAGTACTGCCATTTGTAAAAAATAAAAAAATAAATAAATAAAATAAAAAATGGTGATCTGTGTACAATTTTAAAAACAAGTTGCTATTAATTTAAGAGTTCAGAGTGTTTTAATGCTACAATATTGGCTTTGCTAAAGTGGAGAGGGTTTATTTCTTAAACTCTGAGAGCAAAGGTTGAAAGAGATTTTTTCCCCCTACCAATTTTGTTTTATACAGGAGTTAAAATCTAATGTCATCTATTACTAAAATCTAATATCATCTATTACTAAAATTTAAGCCAACTCCTAATTGCCATGCAGATAGGTAACATTTAATGGGTACCATCTGGGGAGCTTTTATACCTGATTATTTTCGAAGTAAGATTGAGACTTTGTGGGCTGGGGATATAGCTCAGTTGGTAGAGTGCCTGCTTTGCATGCTGGGTTCAATCCCCAGCACCACCAATAAATAAATAAAATAAAATAATAATTAGCCTTTGAACTAATAACTTTTCTTATTCTAAGCAGATCTTTGACAAAAATATATCATCCCAATTTCATAACTTAATAACATAATGGATAATCACTTGAAAATAGAAACTGATCATAATATGGTGGATGTTAGTGGTCATTTGAATGGTATTTGATGATTCTTTAACTTATCCTGCTCTGTCTTTCAGCACTCCACTGTCTCTGAGTATCCTCCAGCTGATGGATATGCATTCCACAACAACATGTATACAAGAGGGCCCCATCTGGACCATGGGGAAGCTGCTGGTGCTTTTAAGCCAACTCCTAATCGCCATGCAGATAGGTAACATTTAATGGGCACCATCTGGGGAGCCATGAAATACTGTCTCTGATTTAGTGCTAACCAGTGACAGTGTCTCCATTGTCTACTTTTCATCTGCTAATGATTTGAAAAGTTTCAGGTGTTTCTTTATAGGACTGGCTTTGAGGTGCAGAAGATATCTGGACCTCCAGTCTGTAATTCTCACCTACTTCAAATACCTTTGGTTGGTTGATCTTCTCTTTTTGAAAAGATACTTCTGTCAAAAATCCATACATTAAGAAGAAAGAATTATCTTGAAGCTTTTCAATTAGTTTGTACCAGATGTTGTCTAAAAGACTTTCCGGCTCCATAACTTTTAAAGGGAAAAATTTCTACCTTTTCCTTCATGCAACAAATCTTCCTTTAGATGGAAATATTTAAACTAGGATATAACTAAATATTTAAGTCAGTGCCTTGCCATTTTTGCCATTTTGTGTAATCATATTTTATCTTTACTTTCCAGTTTTTTACATTTCATTTATTTTCCTATATTTTTACCATTAAAATATAATTAGAGGTGGAGAATTAAGATGAAAAAAATAAAGGAATAGGTTTGCTTTTTTTTTTTCAATCTTGTTTTCTAGCAAGTGAGATTTACATAGAGATCATGCCTAAAAGGGAAAGATATGAGATAAAACTCTGGTAATAGAGGTATAGGAAGATGGTCATTCAGATGAAGGGGTAGAGAGCTGGTCCCAGTACTGTCCTATGTTGAAGCCTCTCTGGCCGTAAGTGTTGCATGCCTTTATTTTTAATATATCCTTTTCTTATAGAATCTGAAGAAGGTAAGAGTCACAATTTTTGTTCTTTGTCAGGGATGGTGACAGAAGTATTTCTTAAGTAATTGGCATAGAAATTATAGAGATATTGTTCTAAGGGTGCCAGTAACTTAAATTTTAAAAAGCCATTGATGAATAAAGTATTTTAAAAATGCCAGCATATGAATCTAAGTTTTAAATATTTAATTATTTTTTTAGTAGATAGAGGTGAAAGTTTTGAAGAATTTCATTGAGATTCTTGACTGAGACACTATTCAATCCTGTATTCCCTTTTTTCTTTCCTTTTGTCATAGACTATCTAGGAATTATTTCAGATTAGTGATTCTTACCTTTTCTTTTGTTGTGTCACTCTAATAAATCAGGATGGTTTTCCACAGCCAAGTATCCAGAAAACCACTTAAGTATATTTGTCATGTGAGTTCAACCTTATGATGAATATAGATAGTAGAAAACTTTTATCATGTTCCATTTTATGACCATCTCTAGCACATTGTGGACACTCAATAAGTATGTATTTATATGATTGATTGAATGACTGGATAATTACATGATATTATATCCAACATTTTAGTCACTACCTCCTTGACCTCCCCCTGCAGATCTACAAGGTTTGGTATCCCTGATAGAATAACCTCTACCATTCATTATGGGCAGCTGAATACAATGTCTTTAAAAACTTTATGATCTTTATGATTATTATAGAATATCAGGGAAGTATGTACCTTTGTATATTGACTTTTAATTTATTGATTTATTAACCTTGGTACATTATCAAATTCTAAAGTGGATTTAGGCAGTTCACATAAATTCAATGCAATTAATATTTTTAGTAAAACTTAAATAATGACATAAAATATAAAATTAAGAAATTTAGAGAGAGAGAGAATGATAATTAAAATCTATGTAGTCTAAGGGTTGACATTATGATTGAATTTCAAATTTGTCATTGAGATTCATGGTTATCAGAGAAAACAGAAAAATGTAATCATTCATTACCCTTAGAGGGAAAAAGTATATATTGGCTCATTAGGATAATCAATGCTCTTCCTATTACTAAATTTTCAAAATTATTTGTCTCATAGAATTTTATATGGGACAGGATAGCTGATGTAAAGGCCACTATTTTAAATATTTTTTTCTCTCATTCAAACAAGATTGTTTCGGATTCCATAAGGCGTCTTTATGTAACCTTTGGTCAATAGGAAATTTAAATAGGAAATTCTATAAAGGGATAATAGCTTTAACAGATTGAAAATGGGAAGCTAGAGGAAAAAATCTTAATTAATCTAGTCAGTGGTGGGTAAATTGTAGATGTCAGGTGTCCTTACAGATCACATACCCAGTGGAATAGTCCCAGTAGGAGCTGGGACAGTTGATAGATACTTGGATAATTGATATTCTTTGTTGCTAAGAAAAGTAGGCATTGCTGAAAAAGGTAAGTGAAAGTTATAGTATGACATGAAGTACAAAAGGTTTGGAATTTGTATTTATAATTGTTATTGTTGATTTTAGTTTCTATTACATGCCAGAAGTGCAGAAGGTAACAGGGATTAACCCAGTGTCTCATGCATGCTAGACAAGCGCTCTACCACTGAGCTACAACTCCAGCCCGAAGTTTTTACCTTATTTTAGTGAAATTATCATATCATTAGATAGATAATTTGATGAATTTAGAAACCTTACATTTTTTTTATTTGGGCAATTTCTGTGCTTTAATTGATATATTTAGGCTATTCATATTTAAAGTGATCACTGATATAGTATTATTTATCATATTTAGTTTTTTTCCACAATTTACTCTGTAATTTTTTCCCTAGGTTATAGATTTTATTTTATTTTTTCCATATTTTTATTGGTGCATTACATTTGTTCATTTTGATGGAATTTATTGGTACATATCCATACATGCATAAAATGTAAAATATAATTTGACCATTATCACTCCCAGCACTTCTCTGCTCCCTCCCACCCCTTAGTCCCTTTCCTCTACTGATCGCTCTTTGATTTTTAGGACATCCATCCATTTTTTTTTTCTTTTTTCCTCTCTAGCTTCTGCATATGAGAAAAAACATGACCCTTAACCTTCTGAATTTGACTTATTTAGCTTAACATGATGGTTTCTAGTTCCATCCATTTTTCTGCAAATGCCATATTTTCATTTTTCTTTTCTTTTTTTTTTAAAGAGAGAGAGAGATTTTTAATATTTATTTTTTAGTTTTTGGCAGACACAACATCTTTGTATGTGGTGCTGAGGATCGAACCCGAGCCGCACGCATGCCAGGCGAGCGTGCTACCACTTGAGCCACATCCCCAGCCCCAATTTCATTTTTCTTTGTGGTTGAATAAAATTCCATTGTGTATATACAACATTTTCTTTATCCCATCTTTTATCTATTGATGGATACTTAGGCTGGTTTCATAGTATGTAGAACCCTTACCTTTGGGAGATTACATTTTATTGATATTCAGATGCAATTCATGTTTTGAAAATGTTCCCAAATTATTGCCTTCTCTACATCTACTCTACACCAAGTGGAATAGTTATTATTCCAAATCAGAAATGGAGGCAAAACATTTTGATACATTCTACATTTCTTAAGAAACTCTCTAGTACATTTAAAAATCACAAACTGTGATTTTTCAATCAATAACTATAATCACTATCATGTCTAGGTTTAATCTATAGAGGACAAAAAACTGTAAACCATGAAGATCTGTAAATTCTGTAGCAGTTAATAGGTACATTCTAGGTAAACACTTCTGAGGCATACGAGATAGCAGAGACTTCAAATACAACTGCCACAGATTTTTCTTTGTAATGTACCAATTCAGATACCCAGTGGCAGAGTTATTCTACTCTTTGTTATAATACAATCATTTCTCTATTGTCTATAGTGATTATTTTCTAGAACATATGAGAAAGAACACGGGGAGCAGAGACAGAGAACTGACATTTCTGTTTGACTAAATTTTGGAATCTCCTTTATTCCTCAGATGAGATCTTAATATAATATAATGTGAATATATAAAGTAGGTGAAAACAGAGCTATTCCCAAAGAGATAGGGATAGGGAATCTATGGAACACAGGTTTTTACTTATTAACAATATATAATAGTGGCTATAATTTCACTTTTTCCTCCAATCTATATTTTTAACATACCAAAAATAATAGGTTGTGCAGCTTATAGGTCATCATTTCTTCTTGTCCCAGTTGCCCTTCTCAAATGGAGTTCCCACCAAAGAGGTAGCAAATATATGTGATGACAGGATACCTTATATTATAGCTGTCCTCCTGAGACCTTGGTATTTAGCCTTCCAGAGTGGGTAGGTAGTAAGAAGAATGACCAGTTGGCAGGGCAAGAATGACTAAACATCTTATCGCTTTCTGTTTTCTCTCTTGAGGAGATGTGTGAGGAAATGTGGGAATATAAATGGAGGAGATTAGAGAGTAAAATTAGTAAAGAGTTAAATTTTATTGAAATTTATGAAGAAAATATAGATATATCTTAATACATTAGGTTTTTATGTATAAAATAATTTTGCATTATATTTTTAATCTGTTAATGCTAATTAGAAGAGATATTTAGTTTTTGAAGAAAGTTTTTTTAAAATATTTGTTTTCTATGTTCTTAATGTTTATAAAAGATTAAAATATTTATTTCTTTAAAAATGTTAGTGATCCTGTGCCTAATGCATACCTTCCCTTGCAATTTAGATAACCTAACAAAACTTTCCTAAAAATTAACATCCAGTCAAAATTTTTAATATTTTTTAGTTGACTAAGAGATCTTGCTTGATTTAGCAAAATCAACATATAACTTATATTACCATTGTTATCTTTGGTCTCTTTTAATTTTATGAAAAATAAGTAATAGCATTTACTCTTATTTAGCTCTTTCATGGTAGAGATAATGACTAATAAAACAATATGCAATATGTGTATTTATTAAACTAAGAATTCATAGGTTTGGATTCTACAGTTGGCTCTGTACCATCTAGCCTTATGATTTTACATCACTTATTTTTGCCTTACCCATAGTTTGCTTTTATTCCCTGTATTCTGGAAAATATAATAAATAAACTGCCATCTAAATAATTTGTCAGAAAGCTTTCTGGTAAGATTTAGCTTGTCTTAATGTTTTGCTTTTGCTTTCGGCCTTTAAGAAGAGCTAGTAGAATGATAGTCTTTTATCTTCCTCTTTATAGAAATTATGACCCACTCAAAACACAACCGAAGAAATATGCCAAATCCAAGTATGACTTCGTAGCAAGGAACAACAGTGAGCTCTCAGTTCTGAAGGATGATATATTAGAGGTAACAGCATTTTACCTTTTTATGCTCTGAATAAAGTGGATTTATTACATTCCTCTTTTGGTGTGTTTTTAAGCCTTCCTGAAAGAAATGCCAAGGTCAAGAAATTATTCTTCATGTTATATGACTAAGGATACAGCATATGATAGATATTTATATCTATTTAGATGGGGTGGCTACTTTATCTATTATCTGACCCCATAATAATGTCATAGGTTCAAGTAGAAGCTATTTGGAATAAGGGTGGGGTGAAAGAGGATGAATGTCTTGACTTACATTATTTTCTTCCTTCTTCTGGACATTATTCATTTTGGAATCAAGGCAAGTTAACCTTCATATTTAGATGTGAACATTTTAATAGGGCTGCATTTTAATAAGAGAAAACATTCCCTTCTTTCTCTCCCAGTATCCTTGTGCAAGTGTACTCGGCAGTAGTACTGAGCAGTAGTACTGCCAACACCCAAATTTTTCCTAGGTTGTAACAGAGTTCATCTTCTTGAATATGTAAAATGAATGATCACAATAAATTTTGTCAAAAAATGGTTTTCATACTTTACCTTTCTATTCTACAAATGAAGACAATAGGACTTTCTAAGATGATCATTTTAGTGCTCTTGAAGTACCTCAAATAATGTAGATGCATTCTGGGGTGGTAATATAGATTTTGGATGGATTCACCATAGAAAATCCATACCTATTCTATACTATTACATGTAATTCTTGGAGTAATCCCTGAGAATCATTAAATCAACTGTAGATTAACCTGAGTTTGTTTATCAGAAGTGAAAAAAATTTGGTTTATGTCTAGGAATGAAATTTGAACTTCATTAATTTTTTTAATGGTAATTATGCCTTTCTTTCATGATGACAGATACTTGATGATAGGAAACAATGGTGGAAGGTTCGAAATGCAAGTGGAGATGCTGGGTTTGTGCCAAATAATATTCTGGATATTGTGAGACCTCCAGAATCTGGATTAGGACGTGCTGATCCACCGTACACACATACCATACAGGTAATTATGATTTTTTAACAAAATTAACAAAATTTCAAATTCATCATTTGGAAAGTATTTAAATACCTTTTGTGTAATACTCATTTTGAGATTTAATTGGCTTCACAGTTTTTTCAACAGCAATTAGTGGGCTAATGGTGAGGACATAGTGAAGAGGTACATATTTTTTTGATTTTTTCCCTAAGGAAATTGCTTAAAATGTTTAATAGTAAATGACTTTCTCTTCAATATGCTTTCCCCCAGCCAACCTACAGTTTTTCTGATATTGGAACAAAACAGTACTTATCTCTTTACCCAGAGTACTCACATCCACCAATGGCTTCCCTTTGATTGAGAGTTGCACAAAGACAGTGGCTAGAGTGTCCAGCAGTTCATTTTTAACAGCCTTTGCCTTTGGAGTCTTTTAAATATTCTGCTCTTGTCCAGCCTTGAATTTGCACTCATCTCACTTTAGACTAATACATGAATATTTTATTCAATTGGATTATAATATTTTTTCCTATTGATTTTAAAGTTAAAACATGTTTATGATATATAGGTTAGATAGGTTAGAATTTCTCATCTCAATCATTGAATTCTTCTTGAAGCCCATGGTTGGTTTTCAAGGTTTCAATAACCTTGATCATTTCATTCATTGTAACAGCTGAATTCACACCCTGTTAAACTCCTGAGATTTTAGTCCTCTGTTGGACTCTCTAGAGTGAAGTCTGCTAACAGAGCCAGAGTAGATGAACTCTCACATGCACATAATCTCTGAACCTAGGGTAGCTTCTCACCCCTTCCCTCCAGGAATAATTACTTTTAACATTCAGAGGCTTGAGAAAAGGATCATGTCTAACCCCATAATCATATCATGGATTCATGTTGAAGCTTCATAGATATTTCATAGGTTTATTTTTATCCCAGGAGCAGGCTTGATAAACTATGGATTATCCAGGCCTAGAATTGTGGTCATTGTCCTGCTGCCTTGATGAGTTACTTGCACATGTGGCTCCTCATGATGCTCAGGCCTAGTGCAGATCCTGAACTTGTCCAGAGGGACTGACTTTATTAGAGTCTCTGCATCAAGAAAAATTTAAAATAAAGAATTATTGCATTGTTTCTATAGCTCTATAACCTAAAGTGATGGCAGTTGGAAATTCTATTTCCTGTACTTAAGTTTTGCCTGGCCTAACATGCATATATATTATGTACTTAATTTATGTTCCTCGTTTGTCATTAGCTGTTGATGCCAAAGAAGGAGTTTGAGTTATTCAAGGTATGATCTGCTCCATTCCTGTGGATTTTTGAAGTGACTTAGTTTTTATGTGTTTCTTTTCTAAGTTTGTACTTTTCTTATTTTAAGTTGTGGTTACCTGGTATAATATAGGCTTCTGTCTGGTTTATGAATGTCAGCTTTTCATTTTCTTTCCTATAAAGGTTTTTGCCTTTTCTGTAACCCAGTTAAGTCTCAATATTTCCATTCTGTGAATATTTTCATGAAATTGACCCAGATGCTGTAAAATTGATTAGAAATCATAATCTAGAGCTTATATATATGATATTAATATTGTTATATTATGATTGTATTATAATGTAATTATTCTTACATAATTATACTACATATTACATGATTATATATTATTAAATACATTATTATATTTAGGTTCTTATAGGTGTTCCAAAAGTACTCTCAATGGGACAAAATGTGTTAAATAGTGATAGAAAGTATGCTTGAAATTAAGACTAGAATAGAGCACTGCTATTTATCCTTGAAATGTATGGGATTTTTCAAATATTTAACTCATGAGAAGCCATAAGAATGACTAGTGACAAAGGATATCCCTAATTCCATGTGTGAGAAGCCAAGACTTTATATTAGATGTTAAAAATGATTATTCAAGTTCATTTTTACTTTTGTGCAGGGTAGTTAGGAATAGGCAGACTTCAAAAAAGAAAAAAAAAGGTATTTAATTTTGCAAATAATATAAATTCAAAGTATTTTCCCCAATTGAGATTTCCTAAGAAAGAGTCTAATGTCTATTGCCTTTTCCTGTTTGCTATCTATTCTTGTTTTGTTCTTTGGTTCTGATTCCTGGCTTGAGCCATAAGTTGACTTTTCTGTTTAAAGCTTGCTTCTGTCTAAAACCAAACCAAAATGGTTAGTACATATTATGGGTAGAGAGAGAGAGTACTTTTGGAAAACATAAAATCTATTCCTCTTTTCTTTAACAGAACCTCATCTTACATTTTTGTCAACTTTGGCACAACCAAGAATTTTTTTTAAGTGCTCACAAGTTTCAGGAGTGTGTTTTGCTACTTTGTGTAAATAGAAACTTGTGGTCCTTCTAGGGATTGACTGCTTTGACTATTTCCTGTAAAACTTCTCAACACTGTCTTGCTGTCTTCTGAATATTTCTGAATGCCATGAATACAGTGATATGTGTAGAAGCTCTGTGTGTGTGTGTAAGAATTGTTTATATTGGGGCCCTACTTTTAGAAACTATTAAAAATAATCTGCTTTTTAACACTTGCTGGAAATTTTGGGCTCAACAAAAGCACAAAGATCTTGTGTAAATTTTTAATAAGTAAGCTTGACAGTCTGCTATCTGGCACAAATCCTGCTCTGAAATGATTCCTATTCTAGAAGCATTTTATAACATATCTTAAAAAGTGAATAGAGTAAGATGGAAAAGAAAGCATTCTTAGAAATATATACTAGTCATTTTTATATCTTTTTTTTTAAAGAGAGAGAGAGAGAAGAGAGAGAATTTTAATATTTATTTTTCAGTTTTTGGCGGACACGACATCATTGTTTGTATGTGGTGCTGAGGATCGAACCCGGGCCGCACGCATGCCAGGCGAGCGCTCTACCGCTTGAGACACATCCCCAGCCCCATTTTTATATCTTTACAACAATGTTACAGATATACCTTTACTAAAATATCTAAAGAAAAATACTGCTGCTTATTTCAGAATGACAGTGAAGATATCATATTTATGTAGATTCCAGTAATGTTAATGCCTTCACTTTATAAACTAGATTACAGTTTATATCATGCTAACTTTTTCATTCATTATTTTCATAAATATTTATTGAGTGCCATCATCTTGCACTAGGTAGAAGGAATAATAGGAAGTCCAGCACTGAGTAGATCCTCCCTGCAAACCTGTTTTGTATGTCTTCAGGTCCTGGATCATATGTCAGGGCTCTTCCCTTTCCTTGGTGCTGCCATATTAGGAGCAGCAACCATTCCTCCCTCCTCACATATAGCCTGTACACTTTCCCCTTCCATCTGTCTCTTCCATCCAATGGTAGAAAAACTTTGAAGGAATGAAAAGATGTTTCCTCTAACAGAAACATTTAGATCCCATCCTGTACTGCAGCAGGACCTCTGTGACTCATTCCTGAAGCAGGCTTTTACACCCACAAGCAGCAATGGTGTTACACCCCAAGGAGATAATGCCAGTGGTCTGTGCTCATGCTGCACCAGACATTCTTTTAGCATTTCAAAAATATTAATTCATGTAATTCCCAAAATAGTCTTGTGAAGTCGGCACATTTGACATGGGGAACTCAGTTACAGGAGGAACAACTTGCCCATGATTACACAGCTGCATGGAGAAAGGATGAGGACCCAGTCCCCAGGATTCAGACCCTATGCTCTGATGCACTCTGCTGTACCAGGGAATAGAGCTGCCATAAGGTTGTTATAATTTTTCACTGCATGAGTGCTTAAAGTGACATTTTCTCAGAAGAGCTTTACCATGCATTATACTGTGATTAATAGTTGATTTGATCAGTCATAATTCTTAGAATTAGATTTTTACCTTATGTATCTATTTCTTGGATTTTGCCCATTCTTTCACTTAAAAATTAGGAGCTGGGTGTAGTGGCACACGCCTGTAATCCTAGCAGCTCGGAAGGCCGAGACAGGAGAATGGGGAGTTCAAAGCCAGTCTCAGCAAAAGTGAGGCATTAAGCAACTCAGTGAAACCGTGTCTCTAAATAAAATACAAAATAGGGCTGGGCTTAACCAGAATGGAAATCAAAGAATGACTGAAGTGAGCACTATGGGGACAGTGATTACAAGCTACCGTTTTAAGAGGTTATACTGGGAACCACACCTGAGGGGTATTGTAATGGTAGCCAGTTAGGGTTCAGGAAATTGGTTTTATACCAGTGACTGAGCAATAAGGAAACTTACCGAAGTAACAGGATATGTTTTCACAGATGGAGAAAGGTGATGTACATATAGAATGCATTAGAATTGGAACTAATAGTGTGAATTCATGCCTTCCATGTGTGTGGATAAAGAAATAAATGTAGATGTAAATGCAAAAAAAAAAAAAAAACACAAAATAGGGCTGGGGATGTGGCTCAGTGGTCAAGTGCCCCTGAATTCAATCCTGGTACCCCCCCTTCCAAAAAAATTTAGAAAATAACCCAAATAGTATGATTCACTTAGAAAGTGGACATCTTGTGAGTGGTGGAAATAAGGGAATTAGATATAAACTATTTCCATGTAATGTCTGTATTTTTAAAATATACACAGTTATGTCTCTTATTTTCATCCATAATTTTACATTTCTGCTAAAGAAGAAGTGTATGTGGATTGCAGAACTTTTGGGGTAAAAGGCTAATTGTTCATGCACTTTCTGTCAGAAATTCTGTTCCGATGGCAGGATGTTCCTACCTGGCACTGGCAGTGAATAGGTGTTGAATTGTCACCTGAGTTCCCTGAGAGTCCAGGCTATTTAATATCCTCACATTTGGAGTGATCTTTTACAGCTCTCTGAAGACAGCCATTCCCACCTAATGTGTTTTCCCTGTGGCTTCAATGGTGTTAAAAATAAAGAGGAAGATAATAAAGAATTTACAAAAGATACAGGGAAATTTAAAAATTGAACAAAACCACAGGGAAGAGAAGTAAATGCTTTTGAGTAATTATGGAGAAATGATATGGCTTTTGATGTTTTTAAAGTTTGTTACAGCACACTCTAGGGTTTTGTGGTAGTTT